TCAGACACTCAAGTGAGACAGGTCAGTTATATTTTCAGCCCCAGCTCTGTTCCACTTTCTGTGTCTCATGTACCAGACAAGAGAGCTCCAGGTTTGGGCTAGCTCTTGCCAGCCCATGCTTTTGTGAGAAACCATCACGATTGTAACAGGGTGCTTCAGGTGGATTGAGTTTATGCTTCTCGCTTTCAGCGTTTCATAAGAATACTTAAATAAAATGAGCTATTTCACAGGAAAAACACTAACATATGCAGATGAGGTTTTGTATTCCTTATTCCCATTAGTTTATTAAACGTGACATGTACTTCTGGGACTCACGCTATGCATATCTTTCGTCAGTCTGAACAACCCCCTATTCACTTGTTGTGAGAGCATTTCTGGCACGGCAGCCTCTTCAGGAGGGTTAGCACCTCCAAGGACTCGCAAAAATCTTAGTGTCTGGGCTCCCATGGAAACGCAGCAGGGGTCCCCGATGGGAGGAGCGGGCCTGTCCTTTGCTCCCACGGAGCTCTGCGCCGCTGCAGCTGCTGAGCGAGCGCAGAAGGGACCCCACACCCTCCCTGCGGGTCTCGGCCCTTGGGATGCAGAGCCATGTACTGAATTTAGCAGGATCCCAAATGATGTCAAGGTGTGCGGTAGTTTCTCCCATTCAGCCTTCTTCCTTTCTGCTTCCTCTAATAGGCATACACTCTTGGTCAGCAAGGCAGTTTTTTAAGACCCTATACCGGAATCAGGTTTTGTGTGTTTTCACTCCTATTTTTGTCCATTTTTTCTCCCCTCTAGTTCTGTTAAACACATCACTCAGTAAAGTTTATCACCTTCTTTCTGACATGGGAGGTGCAAGTTGTTCTGAGCAATCCTGCCAGCTTCAGCAGCTGCTAAAAATTTCCTCACTGACTCCAAGCGGACCCAGATACCAGCATCCATGTGCTAAATGTTGCTTTTCAGATGTGTTGCTTGGAGGTTAATCCCTTGAAGCTCAGGAGTTAACACTCCGGTGGAGCATGAGTTTCCTGAGGGAGTCCTGAGGGAGGGACATCTCTCGCTCTTTGAGAGTCACTCACTGAAGTGAGTTGCTGTTTGGGAGCTGACATTAAACAGCAGCCTGATGGGCTCCAGGCAGATGGCTGGGACTGGCCGAGAGTGCTGCTCAGTGTGGGTCTGAGCAGAGTAAAGGTATGTGGAAATTCATGCTGCAAACATCAGAAAGCTCACTCTTTGCAACTGAGACAGGTTGGTGGATTTTGAAACATTACAGGCAAAACTGGGTTTCAAAATCTCAGGCTATCATGTAATTTATGGGGTTACCTTCCCAGCAGAAAAATCTCACAGCCCTCTGTGTTGTGTTTAGGGCTTCTGGTTTCTGTCTTGGCACTGTGAGAAGTAGATGACATCCCCAAGCAGGGTTTCAGATGGGATGCCAGCTGGAAAAGCAGGGGACCATTCAGACTGGGAGACATTTCAGAATCAGTGCCAAAAAGGAAAAAGGATGTCTAGATGCTAAGACACAGGACTGTGAGGGGTAGCTGTTGACAAGCAGAGCCACAGTAGCAAAGTCTCCCAGGGGCTGATGGATGGGACCAAGTGGAGGTGTCTGTGGCCAACGTGCTGCATCCCTGGCCAGCATCCTCCACTGCAGCCGGGAACGCTGACAAAACTGCTGCCTGCTGTCCTGTGTCCAGTATGAAAGGATGTGTGGGAAGCCAGTTTCTTGCTGAGGCTCTCACCTGCTTTTACCTGCATTAGATAGAATACTGACAAATTGTTAACATTAATACATCAATTTCAGTAAACAGTTACTAGTAATTTAGCTTTTTAGGTGACCTTTACAGTGTTTACTTAGTAAATATCCCCAAGGTGCTGCCTTGTGTGTAAGTGAAAACGTATGATAGGGGAAAACAAAAAGCAAAAAACAAACAAAACAAAACAAAACAAAAAAAAAAAAAGAAAAGAAAAAGACATCTGAGTGAGTTGTCAGATTAGTTCAGCTATTTTTTGAGGGTTGTATCAGTTCTGTTGCCAGGATTTGCATAGCATCCTTTCAAGAACATCTATTGTGATGTGCTTTAAGAAAAAAACAACAATAAAAGCCAAACCAAACAAAAAAACCCTGCACCCTATACTATAATTTCATTCCTGGGTAGCAGTTGCTTACCTGTATGAATCAGTCTCTGGTTCTTCAAAGTGAACACCTGGGCTTTGTCCTTGCACTGTTCTGTTGTTACGATCTTTTACTGTAGCATTAGGAAGCAGGATCTTGTGCCCCCAGAAACTGCAGACGCGGTTCTTGTTGGGAGCAGAGTGTGGCCTGTCATGTAGATACTGGGTCCTGCACACTGTGTTATCACAGGTGGTGAAGACCCCACAGGCTGGCCAAAATTATATATCATAGTTGACCCAGGGTGTATTATTTCTACCTAGTGCATCATTTCCTACAGGAGCCTGTGAGGGGGGATGCCAGGTGGTGCACTTAAGGGCATCCCATAACCCCAGTGACTGAGCTGAGGAACTCTGAATCCACACTCAGGATTTGTCATGGGACAAAAGCTGCTTATTTTCGTCAAGATTACTGCTGAGTGGGAAGATGGGAACAGGTTAAATTCTGCTATATGATCTGTTTTTAATTGTTCTTGCTGAGCTTAGAGCAGTGAGACTTTGATGTCAGCATCAAAGGAGTGGAGGGCTGCTCTACCTACTCTGCAGTAAGGGAAAACTGACATCCTATTGCCACTTTTCTCTTAAGAAAATGAATGTAATACCTTCATGTCTGAGAATCCTAAAACAGACGTGCTAGAAGCTCTTGTGGGTGGCTCCAGGTAGTTGGAGGAGGATCTGGTCAAACTTAGATTACCAGATTGCATGATTCTCAAGCTTGCTTTTTTTTGTGCGTGGTATTTAGGATATAGGATCTCCTATATAGATATACAGGATAATTTCCTGTGGCCATATATATGTATGGATGTGTATGTGTGTGTGTATATATATATATATATCTGTATCTATTAAAAACTCTCACAAGTCAAGCTCTACTTTAGAGATCTGAGCACAGGAGAGTTGAGTGCTTTGGATATCCTGTCCCAGCTTAAATACATTGACCTCACTGGGCAAAACCTTGCTACTGAGTAGGAAGTACAGGCACAGACCCACGGGGGGGGCAAGCCCAGGGTGATGGGTGCACGGGGTGCAGCAGCTGTGGAGATGCTGACAGCGCATGGCTGGACCGGGCAGTGCGGCCACTGGCTTACGGGCCCCGTGTCCGCGTTTGGCCTCTGGCTGCCTCTGTAGTGACTTGCAGTTTTTATCAGGATTCTCACTCTCTTTACTGCTCTGACCAGCTTTAGCATTTGTAGTTGGCAGCTGAATGGCTCCTTCAGCACAAAATGAGTATGTGCTGTGGAACAAAAAAGCCAGAGGGTGGGTAGAAATTGTAATTTCTTTCTAGATGACAAGCGAAAATATCAAAGAGGAAAAAAATCAACATGATGCACAAACAAGCGAGTAATAAGAACGAAAGGCAAAGGATACTATCAAAAGTAATTTCAATCTCGGGCATATCCACTGGGCACGTTCTGTTAAAAAACAGTTTTGCACTCTGTAGATGTATCAGGCCTTTTTCTCTCTGTCTGTGAAGCTGCTAGTGGATTTTGTTTTTCTCATGCTCTTGCTTATATCAAAGCAAAGGCATAGGTATTTTTATTAAATGAAGCCTGTCATAATAGGTTTAATTAGAAATGAAGATGGCATGAGGAGCAAAATTTGGATCTGAATTTCTCCAGAATTTGGAAGTTCATGTGTGACAAGTAGAAGCATCTCTCCTCCCTTGTATCTAATTAGAACAATAAGACATGCTAATTTGCAAGTGTTAATTTAATGCTGTTTTACTGTCTTCCACTAAAATCATCGAAACCTACTGGTTGTGTTTTCCTCTTTAGTGTGTTTGAAAGTAGGAAGGCTTTTCGTAGTTGTAGCATTTTGTCAAAGCTTTCAGATGGCGGCTTCTGTAATTGCAAGGTATAACATTAGGCAGTATTCAGTTCACTTCGTTTTTCATTGGCACCGCTCTCGTGCTGCTTGGATTTGATTGAGGTTTGTGTTGTACGTCCCAGGAGAGTGAGATTATTCTCAGGCATAGTTTGTTATACAGCATATTCGTCCCTTCTGTAACAGATGTATGTGCCACCTTTTGCAGTTTCACAGAATAGAGCATTGGAACAATTTGCTTGCTTGCCTGGGCTTCTGAAGGGTTTTGGAAGGTTTGTTACCATGAAAGAATAGCATTTGCAAGAAGAGAGGCTCAGGAAACCTGTCACGTAACGGACACTTCATCTGTTTGCTCTTAATGGGCTACTCTTGGAAGATGCGGAAATATGGATATCTCTTGAAACTTGTGAGTAGGCTTGTTGAAACTGCCTGCCTCTTGTTTTTGTTTTTGGTTGTTTGGTTTGTTTTTTTTTTTTTTTTTCATTTAGACTTCTACAGAAATGATGAGGATAGGATAGGATTTGGATCTGAATTTCTGCAAAGAGAAATACTGTAGCTGTTCTGGACCACTGTAGTGCATAAAGTTCAGCACAGGCTTAAGTACCTCTTGAAGTCAGCGCTATTCATGACTTGGTAACATTTTTGATAACCACTTATGTCAAGGACTATACTTATTTCTCCTTTTGTTTCAAGAGAAGTACTAATTACAAAGGGCTCAGTTCCACATAAAGTAAATTTTGTTTGTCTGCTAACTCTGCTTTCTCCTGAAATCACTTCTGTTTACTTCACGTTATTTGCAGTGGTGTCTCACTGATGTAAAACAGCTGTTCTTTAGCTTCTGGAGCAAAACATTTTCTGAGCTTGATACAGATCTGGGAGACCTGATATGAAGGAATGATCCAATCTTTCTAGTCTTGCTTGCAGAGCAGAACTCTTAAGTTTGAACCTATGTACTTTTCTGTGGACTAGATGTTGTGGGAAACCCTATTAATGCTGCTTTTTTTCTGTTTATTTTCTGACAGATGATTCAAGAGAGCAGGGTTCTCATCGAGATGGCAGACATCACTCATGAGAAGATTGTTCAGTGCCAGAAAGCAGGTAATCTTTCTTTGTTGTGCAGTTCTGGATGGGAGATGGGAAAAGATGTGCCATAATTTACTTACAGTTTGTGACTAATGCAGCTTCTTTCATCTGGTGTTTAAGGGAGCATCCCCGTCTTTCCCTGGCAGACTCCATCCTCCTGAAGGCTCATCCTCCAGTAGCAACGCAGGCATGGGATCAGGGAAATATCCTCAGCTTTCACCTTAAAAGCTATTTCTCCATCTGCTCTACAGCTTTGAAATGTCTGACAGCATTTAAATTAGTCAAATGAACTAGAAAGGCATTCAATTAAAAAGAGGGAGTGAGAAGGCGTGCTGCCTTTACTGAGCTTCATTCTCTGCCACAATCGTTCCCTTAAACACAGAGTAGGCAAGAGATTTTGCTACCCACAGGACCAAGCTCTGTTGCCTATCTTTACTTTTGCTGTTTAGGTTTGGTTTAGGCCTTGGAAACTTATAGCCATATAATTCCATTGTATCACAGTGAATTGTGTACATCAGGTATATGGGCACAAACCACTGTAAGTAGATTTAAAGTAGATCGTATGTTGCTGGTGTGTTGTACTGGATATCTTTATCTGAACTAGGGCTCTGTCTCAAGTGTACCAGTAGAAAGGGAAGAGGTGGTTTCAGAAGTGGCCGCCCGCGTACTGTCTGCTCTACCACAGGTTCACACTCCTTTTTCAGGATGATAGAAATCGCCAAAGTGTCTGTGATTCACAGTTTGGCTTATTCATGCAAACCCCTCTTCATCACTTGTTCAGGATAGCAGCCTAGACTCTGAACTGGGACATGTCTCCTGTAGTTTCCACTGGTACACAAGAATAAGCCCTGCTAGAGAGATAAGAGTCCACATTTGGTGGTGGTAGTCCTCTACAACTAAATTCATCAGCTTTCATGTATCAGAAACCATGCTGAATAAATACATGCAGTATATTTCTATTAGGGGTTTATACTGCAGATATAAAATCTGTTTTCAGTTCGTTTAGTTGTAGAGCTGCACATTTCCTAACCTGTAGCAAGCCTTGAAGGTCACTAATGCAAACGCTTGCTACTGCATTTAATTTGTGTTCTTAGGCATAGTCTTCTGGGACAAAAACAATCATAAATACTGTTGTTTCTGATAGGCATTTTTGGAGTTGGCAAGTGATGCAGGCTATAGCCATTTGCTTCTATTAAATCTAAATAATGAATGAAACTGATGTTTTGTAGTGAATCTTTAACTGATTTTTATCTGGTGCAAGAGCAGGGTGGCACCTACTCCTTGCCCTTTGAAATTCAGAGCTCTGGAGCCATGCTGGTGCTGTGGTAGCAAAGGGAGGAAAGGCAAGCAGTTATGTCTTGCTGGATTTCATGGGCCTCTTTTTCTGTCATGCCTTGGCTTCTGTGTATCTGCATAAGCAGCATAAATATCTTCAGCCCAAAGCCTTCATCAGGTGCAGAGGGTTTAGGAATGGGGCAGTGACAGGACAATACAGTACCAGGGGTCTTTCTAGATGGTATAATTTAAGAACAATATTTTGCACTAAATCATGCAGACTTTCAGTAGCATCAGTCAGCTTTCTGCCCACTCTGCTCTGTGCACAGAATCCGCGACACTTGCCTGAGCGCTGGCGTCTTTGTAAGCAGAGAGCTGGAGATGTGTGCAGAGAACACAGTGCAGGACCATGCCACCACGCTGATGTCCAGAGTTTCATGAAGTTCCCCTCTCCTTCCTTCCCCCAGCAAAAAGATTAATTTCTCAAGTTTGTTCTCTTTGCTGCTGTATCTACTTCTGTTTTCATTTGTTTTGCTTTGTTAGCAGTAAAATAGCATTTCTGATTGAGAAGAAGGCTGGAGAGATATGAAGTGCTCTTCTGAAGTCTCAGCATTTAGACATAGAGGAACGGTGTAGGGGGAGAGGATCCCTCACCACATTCAATTGCCAATTAGTTTGTTGCAAATGTTACCCAGGCAAATTGTTAAATAACATTTTCAATGTGACAAGGTGAAGCACTCAGAGAGGTGTCAAGAGGTACAACTGCCTGTGACACTGCCCTTCGCCTCACCTCAGTCCTGCTCCCTTTGAACATTTTTTTCCACCTAGATCTCCGCTTCACAGCTCAGCCTGTTTTGGTCCGGGCTCCCTGTGCCATGAGGTCCTGCCCACTCCCCCAGATGACTTCTCAGGTGGCTGGGTTTGGTTTTTTTTTTTCAAGTGCAGTCTCAGCCATGGTCAGCAGCAGCTTGGAGGACCAAACTGCTAAATGTTTCATTGCTGCTTCCACCCGCAGCCTAACAAATGTTTGTGGCTCCCTCTCTCTAGGGCAGCACTGTCTCCAAGTTACAGGTGGGGAAGGTGAGGTCCAGAGGGAAAAATAACTACAAGTATGCTGCATAAAGGCAGGGCTGTCCAAGTGGAGCTGAGCAGCATTAGCCTTCATATTTTTTTGGAGGACAAAGTGAGTCATTTGAAGGTTTTCTTTTACTTACTGAATTGAAATGATCTGTAAGTCTGTTGACATGAGGCATGCCTGCAGGGGAATCTTGCTTGGGGTGCAGTAACGTAGACTGATTGCCAAAGGACATGCTGCAGGAGCTCTGTTACTCTAGACGCGCAAAACTTGTGAGTGGGCAAAGTTTTAGAAAATAAACAGTAGAGAAATATCGCACTGTGTGGGGTTGAACTGCCTCACTGTTATCGAGCCCCTGGAGTCTGTGCATTGCAAGAGGAAGCCTATTGTTAGTCTTCCAGGAGTACTTCAGGCAAGCTACACCAAGTGCCTTGGGCTGTCAGAGGACCAACTCCTTCAGCAACCTGCTAAGCAGCCCTCTGCATCTATTCCCTGCAGGTGTTCTCTCGATGGACATTTCTTTGATGTCATTTCAATGAAGCTCAAATTTGTGAGCGATATTTGTCTTAAAACATTAGGGGAGGTGGAAAAAAGGTATGAAACAACTGGAGGTGGAACTTGGTTTCTTCAGCCAGGATAGGCTTCCGGCATTTTGGAGTGATTTAGTGCCAATTTGGCCTTTGTAAGGTATAAATTAAGGGAACAGAGGCAGCGCTCTCCCCATTTTGTCTCTTAATCCACACCAGACTCAGAGAAACATTTGCATACACAGCGCAAATCTCATGGAATTGTTGGGCTAATTGGACTCATTAAGGTTTTTAATCTGCTCCCAGTTTTCCTGAATTCTTGTATCCAGCAACAGATTTGCAGACATTTGCCACAGAAACTAGCAATGAAATGTAACAATTCCCAGGGCTGTGGTTGGAAGTCTCAGTTCTCCAGGCTGCAGGAATAGCAATCCTGTGATTAGCGGTATGTGTTTCTGACATAATTTATGATTGTGAAGTACAAGGGCTTTTCTGTATGACTGTCATTAAGATTAATGAGGAGCTGTGCATTTGAGTCTGTATTTGCTGTGCTGAACAGGTATCTTGCATGTCTGTGAGACTGCCTTCCAAGGTACAAAATCATCTATTCAAGGAGAGTGACAAGCGATTGCCTTTTGTTGCAATATTGCCAGCAATGCAGATTGCAAGAAGAAGCACTGAAGCCGTGTTTGTGCAGGGACTAGGCACGTGCCTCTGTGGGACCCCAGCACTGGAAAGGAGAGTTTCATACAAAATGGAAGCACAACAGCAAGATTGCACATGACCCTTTTATTCTGGAAGATGCTCTCCAGGTTGGGGTCCTAACAGGGAAGGGGGGGTAGCACAGAAAGGAAATTGTAGGAAGTACCAGCTGCAAGACTGAAAATGCTTACTGAAGTTTTTATAGGGGAAATCAGTCATGCACGGGGTGATGTAGCAATCTGTATTTTTAGGAATGGAATTCCATGAAGAGCTTCATAACCTGGGGACAAAGGAAGGTTTGAAAGGAAGAAAATTAAGTAAAGCCATTGAGAGTTTTGCATGGAACATCACAGTACTGAAGGTAAGCACAGAAAACACCACCTTGTGACTCCTATTAACTCTATAAGCAAACCTTTGCTCTATTAGGTCATCTATTTGTACTGTCTTACTAATACTGAAGCAATATTTTGTTTTAATGGGATGTATAAATTAGCCCAAATTATTGAGATTTATGAAATACTTATTTAATTACAATATTTATCTAATTACACCTCTGGTTTGGAAGCTGTGGAAGAGAATGAACAAAAGAGGAAAGATAGCTTGTGGTTTGTATGTCCAGGCACCTGCTTTTGGTTGTCAGTTCTGCTCCATACACCCTGAATGTGACCTGTCTGTCACTGTGTCTCAGATGCTAGTTTTGTAAAACAAGGACTAGAGCATCTCTTTGGGAAGGGATGGGGCTGGGGGGAGTTTCATGAAAAAACATGAGGAATATTGTAGATCCTGCAGAAATGTCAGGGTTATGTTTTGAAAAGTGGAGCATTATCCAAACAGCTAAAAAAGGGAGGGATGAAAATCCCTCCATCCTGGCTGCGCAGAGACACGCTTCTCAGTGAGCCCCGTTGCTCACCAGGCTTTAGCTACTGGTTTGTCACTGACCAGCCACAAATTGCTGCAGTAGCTGGATGTCTGAGCCTGGGACAAGTTACCCAGGGACAGACGAAGATGGAAAGAGGAGATGATCTGATGCAGCCATAGCAGACAGCAGGGAGAGGGCCTGAGCCAAGTGTTCAGGTTGTTAGCATTCAGCTCACGCCTTCTTTCACAGGCTCATTTCCCACCTTGCTCTGATAGATCACACTTGGATTTCCTCTCGCGCTCTCCCTGCTGCTCCCTCCCTCCAGCTCCCATTAAGCAGATTGCCCTGTCTGACAGCATTCTCCCTGTGACCCCGCAGTGCCTTTCCCTTCACTGGCATCCCAGGGCGAGCCAGCTGATGACAAATTTTTACAAAGATCCTCATTTTCCTCTCATGCTCTCCCTGCTGCTCCCTCCCTCCAGCAACCATTAAGCAGATTGCCCTGTCTGACAGCATCTCCCTGTGACCCTGCAGTGCCTTTCCCTTCACTGGCATCCCAGGGCGAGCCAGCTGATGACAAATTTTTACAAAGATCCTCATCGAGTATACACCTAAATGTAACATGCAACAGCGGTAGCAAGAGTAGTAGGAGATGCATGCTCGAGTGTTGTGGAGATGGAAAGAACACTAACACATCCTGAGTAGGAAGGGGAAAAATGGAGTTGGGAACAAAGAAGCTGAGGGACAAAAATGCGTGGGAGGGGCCGTTGGTAGTAGAGAAAGGTTAGAGAAGACCTGGGGGACACCTGTCGTTCCTTGTGTACCTTGATTCACCATGGGAAGGAGGGAAAGTGAGCAATGGAGTTGGTGTAGGCTCAGTTAATAGGACCTCTGATGAACAGAAGAGGCAACCAATTCAAACATGATGGAAGGGACTGACCTTTTCCACACAGCATAATTGAGGCAAATAGCTAAAGAGGACAAAAAAAACCCCACACTAGGCAGTTCTGAACATTAATCTGAATACCGTTAGCTGTGTAAGGTAAAATAACTGCCTCGTGCTCAGAGTCACTCAGGGTTACTCTAAACTTTTCCATTTTTAGATGTTTGTCAAATGAGATGTTCAGACCTCTGAGGGTGACCTATGATTAATGAAGGTACAAGTAGGGTATCAGAGAAACATTTCCCATGAAAAATAATTGCTGCCTAGCACATATTGTCAACATAGTGAAAAGCATTTCAAACATCTAGTCAAGGTCAAGGAATAATTGACATGTTTCATTTCTAAGCCACTACTTCTGTTTCACCTTTCTCACATAGTAAAATATTAACAGAGTTTGTGGCAACTATCCACAGGTATAAATGCACATGAAACACCTTTTCATTCTGACTGACATCCAACTCAGCAATGACATTAGGCAACTGGCAATGTGGTTGTCAAACCTCAGGTGTCTGACACAAGAGTGTCAGTCATTGATCTGTTAAACCTTTTTTTCCTTAAAGAATACCATATTTCAGTGACCCAGCCCATAACAAACCTAGTTGCTGGTTACAGCTGCATCTCGTGTTTGGCACTGACTTTCCCTTCTATGCTGGTGAGTGCTCCCCAGTAGGGTCTGGTGAGGAGAGACCAACAGCCCTATACCACTCAAGCTATCGGTGTCCTCTGTATGTCTAGTGTCAGGGTGGTCACTACAAATATATTTCACTAGATGTTGGTATAGTGATGCAAGAAAAGGAAAAAATAGCCCATAACATCTCGCAAATGCATCAGCTGCTTTACAGTAGATGAGGTGAGGGAATGGCACAACACTGACGGGAGAAAGCCTCTTTGTGTGCTCGGGGTTGTGGGAGGCAATTACATCATGCGGTAGTAGTCAGTTTGTGTGAGGTGCCCATGAGCAATAGCAGGTATTATGTTGTGCTTGTGCCTGCCAGGTGATTAATAGTCTTTTCCTGACTAGTGAAGCAAAAGCATATTTATTTAATGTATTTCTTTATAAAGACTCATTGCAATAGGTAAGCTTTGAATACAAAGAGGGGATGCAATAAGAAATTGCTACTGGCAAAATCATTAAGTAGTTACAGCGTGCAAGATTAAAGTATATTTTATAAAAATCGTAACTGTGGGCATTCTTCATGTTTAAAAATGCCCTGAGGTACTTTTAAGAGGTACCTAATGAGAATGAATCAAAATAATATGTCATTTTCTTCCTTGGTTTATATAAACTTAATTACATATTAGTAATTCCCCGCTAGAAGAGCAAACTGTTCGCCAGAACATAAAAATGTTAGTAGGAACAGGGATATTGTAACTTGGCAACAGTCAGCTTTGACATATATACATATTTTTAAGATGTCACATCTTTTTATTTGGTCCCATGTCATGTAAAATACCGTCAGGCACACAGTCAGTAATGGAGAGGCACAGTGTCAGTACGATAGACAGAAGAATCACGTTCTCACAGCAACATTACAGGAATGGTTATGATCCCAAATTTAGTGTCGCTTTCATTTTTATTTCCATGCACCGCCATCTCTGTGCCTTTCCTTTCCTTTCTGTGTTTAGTTAGGTGCCAGTAAAATGTAAAGGTAGCAAGAGAAATTTTGTGTTTACCACGTCGCAGGGTCTATGGTGCTAGGAACCGTTCATTTCATCCTAACTTGCACGAAAAACCACTTGGCTTGGCTGACCCTCTTTTGCATCAAAAGTTCACAGTTAATTTTCGTGAATATTTGCCCATTTTTTAATATAGCTGCCTATCCATTTCACAGAGTGAAGGGATTCACATGGGTGTGTGGGCTTATGTTTGTTTCTCCGCGGATGCTGGTGTTTCTGCTGCCTTCCTCTGGCGAGGTCACCTCCTCCCGGGCACGCGTGGCCGCTGTTGCAGGCAGGCGCGAGCTCCTCCTGCCTGCGCCCGGCGAGAGCGGCGTGCTGGGCCACGTAAGGCAGAAGGTGAGGAGCTCGGTTAGGGCAGTTCTGGCTTTGAGCTAACGAGTCCTCGTGAGAGCTGCCGTAGAGCACTAGATGGCTTTCAGGTGGGGTATGCTCATATACGTATGGGAGGCGTGCGTGCAGGACCAGCTTGGGTCTGCTCCCAGCCCTCTCGGCTGCTGCCTCTCCTGGGGCCCTTCTGCCCGCTCCATCTGCCCCTCCCGTGGGATCTTGGCCCAAGTGCCTTCCAGTAACTGAGGCACTCTCAGCATCTGTCACACATGCAAACCAGATTTAATGACTGCTTTAGTTTTTGAGAATGTTTGGGGGGAAAAAAAAATTTGTAGCCTGCAAAACCGCTCTCCTTGCTGAGTCAAAGCTGTCATGGATTACCAGGAGGTGTTTACTTGGGCAAAGAAGTTTGGATCCGCCTGACTTCCGAGAGCCTGGCAAGTAAGCCAAGCAAAGTTTGCATGTGTGGTGACTGTGGTTGAGATTTATTGCTCTCATGTGGATGTGCTTTGGCGGTCGCAGACATATTCTGCTATGCTATCTGTGCTTTAGTGGATCAGCACATACAAATTCTAGGAAAAATACAACCAAATACTTGCCTCCATGTTGATGGTAAATATCTAGATAGTTAATATACCAACATACTGATTTATTTAGAGAGAAAACATGGGAAGACAAAGATAAAATGGCATTTACTGTTTTGGTCTTCTACTGAAAGGGAAAACACCCAAATGTTTGAATGTAGTCTCTGCTGTGAAATGCATTCATGGTTTTTTAAATCTTTTTTGTTGCCTGTGATAAAATTTTTGCCTCTGCTGTGTAAGTGTGTTCTGTCTTACTAGGACTCCAACTGTTAGTGCATGCTAGAAGACGTCAAGTGGTTAAATTTTCAAGGATTGTTTCAGCATCTGTCCATGAGTGTATCTGCTAATTATCCTGCATTTAAATTAAGGCTGATTAGATGTATAAAGAGGGAGATTGCTGAATGCAGAAGGTGTACAATTATTAAATTGCTAATACTGTTTACTCTCTGGGGGAGCAATACACAATTTTATGATGTAGTCATGATCAACGTTAGCTCTGGTGTAAGGGGTTTTATGCAGCAAAACTGCACACCGATAGCACTTTTGGAGGACCATGTCCACAAATGACCTGTTTCTTCATCACTGTCATTTGTGACAATAAATGTTCAGTTGCTTGGGAGACCTGCAGCTTCCAGACCTCTCACTTGGGTAGCAGAGCCCCAGGCGTGTACTTTGAGGACACTTGGAGAGGTGAAAGCCAGATTTCTGAAAGATGTATGTACAGACAGCAATATATTTCTCTGGCTTCACCTAAACTGAGCTGAATTTAACATAACTACAAGGTATCAGTTTTCTTAAGGAAGAAAAGCAACATATCAGTCTGTGATTGTTATTCTGAAGCATCTTATGGCCAATGGTACCATGCAGAGTTACTGCTGATCTTTGGAAGAACTAGGTCCATTCACAGCCTTAACTTAAGGGTTATTATAGTGCATTCTGAGACTGTTTTTAATGGATACTCTACGGTG